ATTGTGGAAAGTATAGATAGTCGATATCGATACCTTTAGCAAGTAGTATATGATTGAAAAGCACAGGTTTCGATTAATATCGACTATCCCAATGAGCGCCTATCGTATAAACTTAAGAGATATACTAACTAGTTATTTACTACAGTACTAAGTGCTACTGACAATAAGTGATTGAAACTAAAAATGATAAAATTTACTTATTTTTTATAAATTTAACCATAATTTGTTTAAATACAGTGTTGTAGTTAATATTTGCTAATAAGATTTAAAACTTATTAAAATTAAAGGTAAGTTATTAAAGTTAATTGTAAACAATTTATGATATTTTAATGAAAATGGATTTCAAAAAAACTATATTTCTATTCCGTGAGTACCTTATTAATCAGATTTTGATAATTATTTATTATTATTATGAATTCATTGTGTTTATCATATGGACACCAAATTTCGAAAGAGGCACTTCTCATGCATACTGTAAAAACTTCAGTAAAAACTTTAGCATTAACCTATAAAATAGTTTATAAACAAATAGTATAGTTTATTATCAGAAACTTATTTTTATTTTCATAAAGTTTATTTCATTCATTTAATTCTTGCTTGATAATATTTAACAATTTAACATTACTTTTTGTTTTGTTATATATATACTGTATATATATTAAAAATCCTTTTAATTCAAAATTAATTCAAATTTAAAATGTTAGTTTTTATTAATAAATCTATGCATAATAGAAATAACTATAGGAATAGTTTATAATTTTATCTAATTTGTATTATTTATCTTTTTGTATCAAGATAAATGTACTAGATTAGGAACTAATTAAATTGCTGTTTATAATTCGCTTCTCGTCATATCCATACTGTCCCCCATGTCCTCCCTCTCACTGTCCAACCAGTTAATCCACGTATTATTGTGAAGCTTAGGATCACTGCGCGGATCAAGTGAAGTGAAAAATGAGTCTATAAGCGGCGGTACAGACGTCTCGTTGAAAGCAACCAATTTCTGCCACAAGAACTTCACAAACTGGGGATCCGTTTCCCCAATCAGGTTATGGTATTCGCACGGGTCGTCCCGTATGTTAAACAAACACAACTCAGTTGTGCAGTCATTGTTGGCCGGGTCGGTAGGTTCGTGTGGTTCGCACTCTACCACCGACTCCTTCAGCACCTCATAATCGGGTCGTCTATTCATTTGCGATAACACTTGATATGACTTACTATTCACGCGATCCTTAGACTGCAGCGTTTGTAACGATTTTCGGTTTAAAGCTATGTTTAGATAGCCCAGGGGTCGCGCCCGGGCGCCCGGGTTTGCATAGCCCGAGCTTTTTAATGATTTATCCTGAATAAGTTTCCAATCGTACCACCGAATGGCCGACGTATTAGTCACGCAATCGATATTATGTATGATTTCCGTTCGCTCCGGGAGTTTATCATTTGATAGTGTATTCCATTGAGATTTACCTTAAAAATATTTAAGCATTTTAATAAGCTATGAATAATAACTAATTTTATTGCTCCAGTTAATTCAAACTGTTTCTCATTTTCACAGACTTATTTTCACAAGCACATTTCAAACTGACAATACCTATTTCAAATATTATATCATTTAATATGAATTAATAAATCAGTAAGTAAGACATTTTAATGTTATTTCTTATGTTCCCTGTACCAACTTAACATGTCACATGCTTAATTAATTACTAAATTATACATTAACATACCGTAAATAAATTGCTCGTTCAATATGCCGGTGCTGTTATCGACAGCATCTAAAATGGTGGGCAATATATCTGTCACGTGTATCATAGCGTCCGACACGTAACCACTTTTGTTCAACAATGGACTCCATATGAACGCCGGAACTCGTATACCTAACACACAGTGAAAATATATTATACAAAGTTTATAATTTTAGTTTTGAAAAGTTTGTAATTCGTTTAATCTCATAACTTGTAATAACTCGCGACGAAGGCTCCGTTTAGGACCGAAAGTACTCGAGTATTCAGATCTAATAAATACCATTAAATCACCACTAAGTCTAAAGAGTTATTTCACATCATATTTAAAGTTTATAATTATTGTCAATACTAGTTTTAATTTAGAAATATCTAAAATTGTCATGATACCGGTAATACGCTATCATATGTATAATATACCTCCTTCAAAATATTCCACTTTAATTCCCCTTAGCGGCCAATTAGATCCACCGTTTGCTATAAAATAAAAATCCATGTAATATAAGCCCCGGTAGGTTTAAAGAATTCAATTACTCAAATGATCACCCCCATTATCGCTCATAAATATAATAATACTGTTTTCCAACATTTGTCTCGAGTGTAGGCGCTCGACAACCGCACCGATCGACTCGTCCATACTGTAGGCCGCGGCGGCCAACCCTCGCCTCATATCGGACTCGATGTACGCAAACATATCGATGTACTNGATAAAATTATAAACTATTCCTATAGTTATTTCTATTATGCATAGATTTATTAATAAAAACTAACATTTTAAATTTGAATTAATTTTGAATTAAAAGGATTTTTAATATATATACAGTATATATATAACAAAACAAAAAGTAATGTTAAATTGTTAAATATTATCAAGCAAGAATTAAATGAATGAAATAAACTTTATGAAAATAAAAATAAGTTTCTGATAATAAACTATACTATTTGTTTATAAACTATTTTATAGGTTAATGCTAAAGTTTTTACTGAAGTTTTTACAGTATGCATGAGAAGTGCCTCTTTCGAAATTTGGTGTCCATATGATAAACACAATGAATTCATAATAATAATAAATAATTATCAAAATCTGATTAATAAGGTACTCACGGAATAGAAATATAGTTTTTTTGAAATCCATTTTCATTAAAATATCATAAATTGTTTACAATTAACTTTAATAACTTACCTTTAATTTTAATAAGTTTTAAATCTTATTAGCAAATATTAACTACAACACTGTATTTAAACAAATTATGGTTAAATTTATAAAAAATAAGTAAATTTTATCATTTTTAGTTTCAATCACTTATTGTCAGTAGCACTTAGTACTGTAGTAAATAACTAGTTAGTATATCTCTTAAGTTTATACGATAGGCGCTCATTGGGATAGTCGATATTAATCGAAACCTGTGCTTTTCAATCATATACTACTTGCTAAAGGTATCGATATCGACTATCTATACTTTCCACAATGATGCCCTATCGTATAAACTTAAGAGATATTTCAAATATAAATTAATTTCAGAGTAAATCTTATTAATAATGAATATATGTTTGGGTCATTCAATAAATAGAAAAAAATTTAATTCTTTTGAATTGAATATCAATTTTTATAATTCAATGTTTTTGCTATGAACTATAAAGCATAATTACATGAAAACTGTTTATCGGTTTAAGCACATTATTAATTGGGTTATAAGGATACACTACAGGTTATATTGATATCCGCACATTATCAAACAAAATCACCAGCTCTGGCACCGGTAGTCATTTGCGAAATGTTTGCCTATTATGATACCAATACAGGGGGACTACTGTCGGGTGGATGAGTGGAGAGCCTGGGGTCTCATTGAAATTCAATTGAACAATATAATATCAATTAATGGTTTACGTGTCTCATAGAGTATATGCTATTATTTGGTTACGTGACTAATATGTATATAAATTGAAAGCATTTTCAACACATTTGACAAATCAATTGGTTTCCCAAGTCATTGAACATTCAGTAATAACTTACTCTAACTGTTCATATAGTTATCAACGCTGTGAAAATACAGTATATAAAACATAACAATGAATACTACACTAAACTTACTATTTGTTAGCATGTTGTTTTATGGTAAGTATTTAAAATCATATGAACACTATAAATATGATAATAAATTATAATAAAATATCTTGAATTTTAGTAGCCATCGAGTGCTCGCCAATTGACCGAAAGGACAGGGATGTGGAGTCGGTGTGCGATGAGGAGCATAAGGCCAGAGCCAATGTATGCGCCGATAAGCTATGGTTTGTGGGCCGGAGATCGAGAAAATATCCGGAGAATGAGCCGGAATTGGAGACACACTGCAAGCAAACGGCAAAACTGATCGCATGTGTCAAGTCATACACCGATGTCTGCGGCAAAGAAACCCATAAACAGTTGGCAAATGTGATGCTCTTTACCGTCAAACAAATAGACAAAAACTATTGCACCAAATCGACTAAAAAGCATGAATTGATGTCTTTCTCGGTGTGCGGCAATCGCATCCGGGATCAGTCCAATAAGTGCATGGATCAGTTTATGGTCGAATTGGGCAAGTCCAATGCTTTCGAGACCAGGATGAAAGTACCCCACGCGTGCTGGTATGTATATTATCCATATTTGACCAGTGTAGTTTAATTTACTTTGTATTCGTTTTGTTAACTTTTTGTTTGAATATATTTGTAGCGCTTTTCATGAGCTGAAGGCCTGTATTATGAGTTCCGCGCGAACGGCGCGTATGTGTAGCGAGAAATCAATGGATAATTACGAGAAATACATCACATCTATGGCCGGAAATACATTGAGTCTGATGTGTACTGACTATGAGGAGGATTCCGACAAATGCCAACATTTGCCTCATTTGCCAAAAGGAGCCAAATATTCAAAGGCGCCGTCAGTTATCGACGGCTTCGGTAGCATATTAGATGACGATTAAGCTATCAATTCGTGTAATTGTAGTCTATTTAATGTATAAATGTATTTATTATTTGTAAATAAGTTATTTGTTACACTCAATAGGATTGCCTCAATTGTACAAAAGTTGTAAATTATATTTATTAATAAATAGATATTT